GACGTGGGTTTTATTTATCATGTTCCGCGTAATGCATGGGTGTTATCAATCGTGATGGTACAGAAGAAGAATAAAAAAATTAGGATATGTCAAGATTTTTGAAAGTTAAATGCGGCCACCAAGAAAGATTACTTTTCATTACCTTTCACAGTTAGGGCTATGTAAAATAAGTAATTATTTTCAGAATGTAGATACCTAGTGTATAGTGTAAACAGGGATAGATAAGTGCTGAAAAGGTGGTTCAGCAGGTAGAATGGATGAATAGTTAGAAAAAGTAGTTATCATCTATAGTATAGGAGTTAGTATCTTGGGGTAGTATAAAGAGGATGGGAGAAGGGAAGAAAATGCCAGATTATGATAGTCATGAGCCGAGGGCCATCGCTGTGATAGTGTGAGCCGAGATAAGCTTGGTGCTATCTCTTTTCTTTTATTTGTTATTTTCTTTGAATAAGAGGATTGAGAGTTTCTGAATATTGTGAAGTGAATTATGGAATGGAAATGTGATTGGTATTATTTGAGAAGAAGAAAGATTGAATGCTGAAATTTGATTGTAGTTTAGCAAAGAGAATGAATCTGTATTTGTGTAAAACATTGTAATGTGAATGGCAGTTTTGTGTGAAGAATTCCAATGATTGGAACGATGGTAATTATGTGCTGAAAGCTGTGAGGGTGCAGTATTATAGATGGAGATTATGATGGTAAATATATTGGTGGAAATAGCAGTTATTGGTATGACTGAATTGTTGTAAGGAAGAGACCAATAAGATGAAGGAAGATATTGTAGTTTCCTTGTGTGTTCAGATATTGGAAATAGAGACGATACATTCAAGAGATAATTGATTATGTGACCCTAACGTGAACGCTTAAGCAACTAATCATTTCCCATGTTCAAATCCCCCTATACGGGTTTATTCTGGGAGGTTTCTTCCAGAATAAGCAAAACGAGCAATCACATATAGTATGTATGGAAATAAAAGTGATGCTTTTCTCACTCTTATCAATGCCTTTTATGTTCTTAGCCTTCTCTCAAGGTTCTCTAATCTTCTTGTCTTTGACAATAGTCATTTCAGTTTTAATATTATAATAATCTTTGATAGTTTTAATATTATAACAATCTTTGATAGTTTTAATATTATTACAATCTTTGATAGTTTTAATATTATAACAATCTTTGATAGTTATAATATTATAATTATCTAAATATCTATTTTTTCTTAATAATACAAAAATATATTGATCCTTTTTTTTCGTTTGTAATTCATATCTTTGATACTTAATAAAAATAATTTAAATATAAAAATTATTACTATAAAGATTAATATACTCAAGAAACTCACAAATCATGCACCACATAGTAATAAAAAAATTTAATAGTAGACTCAAAAATCCTTATAATACACATAGTTGATTTAAAATTAAAATATAAATTCATTTAAATTCTATATATATATATATATATATATATATATATTAGCATTAAAATTTCTTTCTTTACTTTTAAAATATCATATAATAGTAATTTTTTGAAGAATAATATAAAATATATATAACTCAAATAAATATATAAGGATAAATATTCACATATGTAGACTTTTTATTTTATGTAAGAAAATTTTAATTTTAATTTTATATGATTCTTAAACTATAAAATATGAATTTTGGAATTACTATATTATAAATAAAATTTTTATTAAATATAAAATATATATTTCTAATTTTTTATAAACATCTGTAAAATTATATTTAATTTTTTTACATAAAAAGTACAAAAATCTTCCTATTTATTTTCGATCTTTTTTTCAAAGATGTAAATCCAAATATTAAATTATATATATAAAAAAAATAAAAATAAATAAAATAAATAGATAGTTTTTAATTTTTGATAATACTATTGAATAATTTGTAAAGATTATAAAAAGACAAATTTTACATTATTTTTTTATAAAAATCATTTAATTTTTATATTAAATAATTTATATTATATTTGTACTTTAAGATTATGTTTAAATTCTATTTATTGTTGATTTCTATTTTTATTGAATTAATGGCCAATTACACATCTATAACTCTCTTTTTTTTCGTTTTTTGTGAGCAATTTCAAGTATTATCAGACTTTAGTAATAAACGTCTTAAGTATTATGTACTAAAGCACATGATTAATCTATTATTACAATACTTCTTTGAAAGACAATTATTGATGTCATTATCTAATATAATTATTTTTAAATATATAAATATCTTGATGTAACTACTACATGGACATCCCATTTTTACTACACAGATACCTTCTTTTGCCATGCACTCTTGTATATACACAATAATATTATTGTTATCTTATTATTTTGTATTTTATAGCCCTACCCTTTCAAAGCTAATAGTATGACTTCTCTTCTCTCCTCAAGCACTTCACAAGAATTTTTTGTATTTGAATTAGTAGAAAATAGAAAAAATATAAAAATGCAAAAACAAAAAACAATGTGAAGAATGTGGAGAAATTAGACATACTAAGCATAGTTGTCTACAATTATTTGAGGGCCAAGACTATGAAATATAAAATAATAATATGATTAATATTACTATATGTATATACTAAGGTGCATTGTATGAGATGTCTATATATTACAAAGATGGTATCCATCTAAACAATTTCTATCTTAAATATAAAATTTATTTATTATATGTTATTTAAGCATATAACCAAAATTATCTAAATTTTGATATATTTCAATACATCTTATAACTAAAACTTTTTTAATGAAAAACATCATTAAGGTAAATTTTTTTTCTACGAAAAAAAAACTCAATCAATAAATATTCAAATTATTTTCTATAGTATTTTATATATGCTTTAAAATAACTTTGTAATACTAAGTACTTTTAACAATTACTCCATTATCCATTTTTAGTATTAAAAATATTTAATTATTAAAATTTAAAAATCCTTATAAATAATTACTTACTACAAGGATATTTTAATCCTTATAAATAACTACTTACTATTTTTAATATATATATTATTTGAATTAAATAATTTAATATCTTAAAAATCAACAAGAATATTATTTAGAATTTTTTTAAAAAAATAATTTAAATTAATTATTTTAATATTTAATTCTTAATGTACTTAGTAATTATATATTATTCTTCTAACTTTAATAGTTAATAGAATTTCAACATGATAATTATTGTGTATTTTTATTTTTTGTATTTAATTTATTATAAAAAGATATGTGCATCAAATTTATTAATTGTATTTACTTTTGTGATTTTTGGTGTTAGAAATGAGAATATATATATATACATACATACATATAATATTATAGTTATAGTTATTTTGAAATTATCAATTATAATTGATAAAAGCTTTACAGATGAGAGTAGAATGAAATCAAATGAAAAATGTTTGATCAATACATGAAGGCAATGAATATTGAAAACATGTTTCTATATGTATATGGCTTGTAAATGGTGACATACAAATTGGAATTTCTCAAAAGACAATGTGGTCTCTAATTCTACTTCTTATATTGGCACAAAGATTGCACTCCATTAGCAATATTGTAGGACAATGTCTTTATCCATATTAAATTAATCATGGTAGATTTTAAAAAGATTTGAAGTATCCTCTTAAAACAATTATTAAATGATTGGATGGCTAAATAGACGCCTAAATAGATGCAATGCTTTGTAGATGATACACACAAATAAACAAACAAATATTATCTTTGATACATAAGATATGTATTAAAATTGTGGATTAGATATACATTTTATATACATTATTATATTTAATGAAAGTTTAACATATGTTCTTTAAATATGTCAAATATATGAAAGCATTTTAATTTAGAACATTGTATAAAAATAAAAACTTAACAAAAAAATATAAATAGGTGTATATATATGTGTATATATATATATATATATATATATATATATATATATGTGTGTGTGTATATATAATATTTTGATCTACATTGGTTTTTAAAAACAATTGTTGATGTGTATTTTGAATATTTTACACTTCTTACATATTTACTTCTATATCAATAAGTATTTTTTATAAATTACATATATATACATATATATATATATGTAATTTATACGTATATATTATCATTAATTTTTCATATTATGCTATTATATATCTAAATTTTTAATCACTGTGATTTCAATAAATAAAAGTAGTATTGAATAATTTATGGTTGCTTCTTCATTCCTTTATTCATGCATGTATATATTTATTAAAAATACATTTTTTTGCTTATTCTATTTTTTGATATTAGTAAAATTGTGGTTTATACCTATATAATACTGTGGCTTTGTGTAAACTTCTTTTTTATCTATGTTCTTATCACGGATAGTTTTGTCAATCATCTTCCTTTACGGAATTGAGAATTCTAATATAGTTAGTGCACATGTTGAAATTGTTGCACATGTAGCCAGTGTTGTTTATTAGTGCTTTGAGTAACATAGTTCTATCAAACTGAAGTTTTAAAATATGTTCAGAGAGCAAGCATTCCCCTCAGACAAATTCTGACAAGGAAGAATCATGTCCAGGATGGGTAGGTTGTAAGCTACTTGATCATTTTCTACGAGTTTCGGGATTTTTCTCATTGTTTTAGTTGCTTTGTGCCGAGAGATTTGTTCAAGCTTTCTGTTCAAAAGACTCAGAGTTGAAAGTAGTAAAAAAGTCTTTTCCACATCAATAGTAGTTCATTATCTAATAAAGTAGGCAGCACACAAATTTGTCATAATTTAAATTATTTAGTCCAGTGGTCAGTTGCATCACAAAACCTGTACTTACCACGGTTTGAAGGGGCCAGAGTAATGACACAAAACAAATGTTTACGAGTCAGTTTATTAAGCAATTAAAATTCATGCTCACGGCACAACCAGAGAAAAACCGAAACAAGATTCAACTAAATTAATCCAGACTGTTTGGGTAGGGAATAGGCAAGAGTCGCAACTTCAATTTGTTTCACTTGGTGAAATAGTCATGAGAATCTAATAGCCTCTCATTTTCATCATGCACTTAAATCATCAATACGATCCAAAAGGGAGGAGACATTTTTACTTTTTCCCTCCATACAATAAGTAGTTGATTAAAGGTAAATCTTAACCTCCAATCCTTATCAAACTCGAAGTTCCATGACAAACCATGGAGAAAAGATAAACCACACCTAGTTCTTACAGCAAGAAGGAGAAAATCTAACAGACGTCAAGCAAAAAGACAGCAGATGAGTTACAAAAGCGTGCCAGTCACGGATCTCCAGAAAATTGGAGTAACGCACCACAAGAGTATTTCTAGAGGACAGTCTAAAACATTACTGGATCCTCCATCCAGCGGCAGCTAATCATGTATAAGTTCCAAACTAACCGTGATAGTTCATCATCCCGCACAAAGGTCCCCGATGACATGCCGTGTTCCTAAAAATCAGTCTGAGGAATCTCATCCACAAATAAGCATAACAAAGTCGCCCCCCTGGAAGAAAGACGGTGATTTCTGAGCCAGTATTATGACGATTATCAAACGTCAAACCCATAACCTCAACTAAGTGTGAAAGTATCTACTTGGGGCCGCAACTTTCTGTCCAGATGTACTGACTTTAGGCATAGTTGAGCCGGAAAATGTCGTTGAAGACGTAAAAACTCCCCTGAGGTGTGGGAGCTAGATGAAACATCTGCAAAAACAAAAATACAAATGTTAAACAACACCAAGAAATAAGATTCACATACTACAACAATGGCGTGCTGATGATGTAGACGTTCAAACCCGAAATTAGTGGTAAACGGATTGAGAAGGGTGATAATACTGAAAAAAAGTTCCTGATGCCTTAAGCCACGATGAGGAAGTATTCTTAACTAAAACCTAAACATACAAAAAAAACAAATATGCGCTGGAAAACATAAATGTGCGGGATCTAAGACCATGCTATCACTGAGTAAACCCAGATGGTTAGACACAAAGGTTAATAGAAATACAAGGGAGCTTGTGTCCAAAACTAGGCAAAAATGATGGCATCCAGAGTCTCAGTGTGGCTTGACCTAATACAGGACGAGCCGATGCTCAGTTCTCAATCGCAGTTGGTAACATCAAGTAAAAATCGACTGAGTATGATGTTCAAAAAAGATGTTAACACAAAAACCACAAACAGATCTTGCCATTAAGGTATACACACCATATCACAAAAGGGACCCACGATTCTAACGCTGTGAACAAAACTCGATAAAACGAAGGCAGAAGAAGCGAAAGGAGAAATCGTAGAAGATCCCACAGACCTGGCTAAACTTCAGCAAATGCTCCTCTCCAGGGAGTTGCAAATTCCCGCTCACAAACACAACCCAACCGCCGGACAGTCCCGAGGGTTGGCAGTCGACAGTGGAGATGTTGTGCTTGCATTGCTGGAAGGGGAGGCTGTTGAGCTTGTTGCTGATGCTCTGAGCTCCCTGGATCTTCTCTCCCTCGAACGTCAGCATGGATCCCTCCTGGTACAGATTGATGAGCGCCAGGCGGTTGGTGTCGAAGGTGGTGTAGTAGTGCTCCACAAAATGCTTGCTCAACTGATCGGGGTCCATCGCTGACGATCTGTCTCGCCCCTCCGCTGGGGTTGCTGTGCGCTGCTGCTGCTGTGGCGGTGCCCTTGTGGTGATGGCAATCCTGTGCGCGTGAAATTCACGCCACGGCAATCAACACACCCCAACGCGGGATCCGAGAAGCGGCGAGATCGAAAGAGAAAACTAGGGCTACCGGAAGTGCTCTCCTATTTATGCTTCGCCTCCCACCGAATACGTACTATTATACGGAATCGAGCCTCGCCTTTTTGTATACCTACGATAGATAAGGTGAAGTGGATGGATGAATGATCGTCCGATCTCGCCTCCGTGGATGTTATCTGGGGCCATTGGAAATTTTGACATGGATGGATGAATACGTAACGTCGTTCATTCGTATTTCCAAGTGTTTGGGGGTGAATGCATGAATGTATGGATGAATGATGTGTCAACTAACTGGTATGAATTATACGGAAATCATTCTTTCTGGATGAATTGTTGTGAATTTTGTGGCTGGGCATGCTGCTCACAACTCTGGACAGTATCAACACTTTCACAAGAAAAAAAACTTAAAGAACAGAATAATGGATTTTGAATTTTTTTTCAGAAGGTATGTATTGATACTTTCGTGATTAATTCATAGAATTTTAACTGTAGTTACTAAATTTCGAATAAAGTAGTATTTTTATCTTCCAATTCTAGGCTATAGAGCTTTCAATTCAATACAACTAATTTTGTGCACAGGAGGTTCCGACACTTTTATTTTGATCCATTATGAGTTGGGACATTTATTTTTGAAGAAAAATTAATATTCTTGGAAGAGAAATATTACTTTTTTAATATGAAAATCAAAACATCTTTTATGTACCTAAATATACACATTGAATTTAAGGTTTTTCAGTTTTTTTAAAAAAACCTTGGAGCATGTATTAGAATGGAAACTTGCATCAGAAAAATCATTCTGTTCATTCATGTGCAATATAGTTCATAAAAATAAAATAAAATAAAATAAAGAAATATCCAATAATTTAGGAGATGAACATGTTTTGAAAATGGTATATCTAACTTCTAATTGTCTAAATCTGGTAAGCAAATTTTAGAAAATCAAAATTTATTGTAGGTTTGAGTTTTAGTATTCTTATTATAATTATTGTTATTAATTCAACTACAATAGTCTTTTTGATATTGATAAAAACCAAATTTTTGGCATGCAACAATAATAATAATAACCATGTCAAAGGGTGTATAATGATTAATAATATAGTAATTTAGACTTGTAAGTATACTCATGCATGCATATTCAATTTCTCCCACAAACCAGACATGCCATTTATTATTGTTCTTTTTAGATTACTAAAATTCATTTTGATGGATGCTTTTTCTCAAAAAACATTTAACATTTAACATTCAAACATAACAACGAACATATTCATGTCATGGTATAAAAATTATATTAAAAATTATTATAATATATATATATATATATATATATATATATATATATATATTGTGAAACAATATTTAAAATATGAATAATTTTTTTATTAGAATGAATTTTTTTAAATAAGTATATCAAATGGATGATGGATAGTTGCAAAAATTGTGATTGCATAAACAACACCAAATATATATATATATATATATATATATATATATAGGAGAATGTTAAATAGACCCAAGTTTTTACTAAATTTATACATCCATCCTATCCATTATCAAAAAAATAAACAACTTCTAGATTCATTTCTCCACTATTGGATTTACAACCAATGAAAACCAACCACATTCATCATGATTACCATATTCTTCATCAAAGATGGGTTAATTTAATAAAAGCACAAGTCTATTTAATATTCTCTTATATACATATTTTTTATATAGGTATATATGTGTATATTATTGTTTTATTTTATTTATAAGTAAATTAAGAAATAAAACTAATTATATTAACATCTTGATAATTTCTACTCCTCTCTATTAGTAGCATAATAAACGTCTATTATTAAATATATCAAATAATAATAATAATAATAATAATAATAATTTATTTTAAAATGGGTAGTAACATAATTGAATCTATATACAGATATGTTAGCAAGATAAATTACAAAAATACTAAAATTCTAATATAACTATCAGAAGGTAAGTCCTTGGTATTTACTTAAATACTAACAAGTTGGTATTATGTTTCTAATAACATGGAGTTCAAAAAAGTAAGAGAATTTTTATAGTAAATTTTGAAATTCTAATTTTTTAAAATATTATTAAAAGCTATATTCTCTTTAGAACACAAATATTTTATTACTTCATTGAACAAAAAATAATATCACGAAATAATTATTTATGTTAAAGAAGATAAAAAGATAAATAATTTAAATTTAGAAACCCTTGAATGCAATGGCAATATTGCATCATATTTTAAATATTTTATTTCTTTGACAATAATAAATATTTTTAATTTTTTGTGAAATAAAATACTTTAGTAGATTAAAATCCATTTTTATCTTTAATTTTTAATTTACAATCATTATAAGAAATTTACATTACTATGCTCCTTGTACAATTCTTCATAATTTTTAATTCAAATAAAACATGTAATAAACATATTGATATTTTTAAATGTGTTTATATAAGTTAAAAGTAATATCTGATTTATATCTATTAGAATAAGATTCAATATTTTTATATATATGCTCATTACATTTTTAGTCCTTCAAATAATGTAGTTGTCTTTTCTAACTTGTGATCTATATATATATATATATATATATATATATATATAATTACAAAAAAACATATTTTTTGAACGAAACTGGGTAGAAGTTTAAAAAATGCAACACAATTGCTATATATATATATATATATATATATATATGAATATATAATATTACATATTCATGGTTTTTAGAATTAAAATGTGATAAAAATGAAATTTAGTCCTTGTAATAATTGATGTGCAATAATATGTGTGAAGTAAATAAATTTAATTATTTTGAATATTTATAATCTAATCAATATTGGTATGTGTATATATACTTATATATGAACATATTCAAACATATATAGTTTATTTTTATAAAAAGAACTTATTAAAAATATAATTTTTATTCTTAATCAGCAAAAAAATATATATTTTGAATTAATACAATGTTTGCACATACACTTTAAAAAAAAATCATATTATGTTTTTCTTCTTATAAATTATGTTATAATTTAATTATAAACATATTATCAATTGCTTGATTACAGTTCCTATTATGTTATGTAAATACATGCTTATTCATTATTATATATATATATATATATATATATATATATATATATAGTATCAATTGCAATTTGCAAGTTTATTTATCTGTTTATCAAATTTTATTCCATTCTTATTTAAAAAAACAGAAAGATATAACCTAAAATTTTCTTAAGCTTATTTTAAATTAAATATTATAAAAAGTCATTTAGTTAATGTACAAGTTATTTTTGTGACCTAATAAAACAATTTTATGAAAAAGATAAAGCACAGTTTAAATCAAATGCCATCATAATTTAAAAACAAAACTTATATATATATAAATATATATATATTTATACACACATACATACACATATATACTCTAATATAAAGAATTGACACTAATACATGCTTATAACAAATGGTTGCCAATATAATATATTTATTCTATAATAAGAAAACATCTAAATCTTGATAGCCAACTTAATTGTTAGATCATTCTATTTTATTGTTCCATATAGAAACATTCCTTTTTTCATAAAAAAAAGATTATATATATATATATATATATATATATATATATATATATATTGGAAGTTTTAGAATTCTTGAATACAATAAAAATATAATTTTATCTTATATATATATATATATATATATATGTGTTATTTTAGTAATTTATTATATGACATAATATTTAAATTTATAATTTACATACTCAATTTAAATGATTATAATATAGTTAATATAATAATAAAAATATGTATCTATAATCTTAATTTTTGAAGATTTTGAATTATAACTACCACGTTTCAATTGTAAAATATATTTAGTTCTTATTTTATAAGTTCAAGTAGGTGTATTATTTATTCTTTAAAAAAATTATTCTCATAGTTAAAATATTTGATTAGAAAATATAAATTTATTTTATATAAAATATATAATTAATGATATTAATAATAAAATTTTTATTATTCAATTATATATATATATATAGGTGAATACTTGATTATAAAAACTATCAAATTTACTTGCACCATGTTGATTAGAATGTATAATATATATATATATATATATATATATATATATTGCCTGACTTTATATGTGAATGTATCAAAATTATATATATAAGTTCTGATTTAAGTATAATTTTTTGCCGTTATTTATCAAGAGGTATGAGAATTAACATTTCAGTATTTTTCTTTGATTATTTTTGTATTTAAACAGAAAAATCACTTTTTTTTTCTTGGTATTGAAATTTGTATCCTATTGTTTAAAACTAAAGTATGATGAGGTTAATTTGTTAAATAGAGTTTCAGTTAACATTATGTGGATTAAAATAATATTAGATTGGAAGTTGATAAGTCTTTAAATTTTAAGTAGTTAATTTCTTTTCAAATTTTAACTTTTTGTATTAATAAAGATTGTAAAAGATAAAGCGAATACTCTTACCTAGCACAGATTATGAAATTTCAGAAATGAAATGTAAAATGATTGATATTCTATTTTTTTGAAAGAAAAAGCAAAGCAATAATATAATAATATATTTTTCTAATGAAATAAATGTGAGTGACTATTGAAAAGTAACTTCTCTTATTTTTCATCACACTTTAAAAAAAAAGACAAGATAATAAATAAATTTCTTTACTTCAAATTGATCATTAACTATATACATATTCATGCAAACGTAATAATCATGTACAAAAACATGTATATGGTATTACGTTTACATGAATGTACCATAGCTTACTGTGCTTGAAATGAGCACCACAGACTGGGTTGTTGTCTAAAAATAAGAGAATTACGTCTACTAACACGATTGGTGAGAGGATGTAATAAAATAACAATGCTTGGTATATCACTCACAATCTGTTCAAGACTTCTCATTTGTTGTCATAGAAATGTGTATAGAATGATATTGCTACTCGCAAAGCAGTCAAACAGAAAATTGAACACAAAGTGATAAGAGTCTGAACGACTTCC